CATGGGTCACAGGAGGGGTGGGATGTTGATCAGTACTGGCTTGGGATGGGTGTCACCACGCATCTCAACTAATGAGAGCATTTGGGGTGGGCCTAAGACTGCAGCAGCGCTCACATGAAGCGCTAACGACTTCATAAGTGGGAAACAGGAAGTTTCCGATAGCATGTGAAGACCGCAGAGAAGCGCTCTCGCTCAGCACAGTGGAGTGCATTGTTTTTTTAACTTTGTGGTTTATTATCTTGAGTCGTTTGGGATGCGGTAACACACACGGCCCTCTCACTGCTTTACAGATCTATCGCTTTTGCCACTCAGAAATGTTCACGCAATCATGCTGCACGTATCAGAAGTTCAGCGCTCGGGTGCAGTTAGCGCTCACACTCACTGATCTACTGTATATATAACTGAACCGTGCTCTGGCCCACCTCTTCCAACCGAGCGTGGCACGGAGCGATCACACTACATGCGTACCGCGCTCTGGCCCACCTCTTCCAACCGAGCCAGGGCTGGATAAACGAACCACGGCACGGAGCGATCACACTAGTCAAACGAACCGGGCTTTGGGGGTCAGACGCGCTCGGGCACGGTTAAGATTGCCTAGTGTGATACACCCTTATTCTCCCACATCCCGCACACACGAGTGTCTACACGCCCGCACCCTCACTCGCCCATAATTTTGTCCTGCGCCGCACTCTGCTGCGTTAGGTCCCGCGATAGTGCAGGTCTCATTATAACAGGCACTCTCGGAAGGTGCCTGTTACAATGTTATGATCGAGGCTCTGGACTCTGAGCATAACTTATTTTTCTATAACAAACTATCAAATATTTTATATAAAAACGTTAATTCCCTGGCAGTGGCAAATAGCTTTGGTTTTATATTTAATTTGATTACATTAATGTTATAAGTTGAGATTTACAAGAAATATTTTAATTGCTACTATGTAAAAGGAATACTGCTGTAAAAAAGCACCTTATTTGTTTAAAGTGTTTGCAAAACAAATGTTATTGCACTTTTGTTCATATAGCAGTATTTTTAAATGAAAAAGTGCACAATACACTACTTTTGAATTCTTTATTGAATTTTGTGCATAACAATGCGATTAATCGCGGTAAAAAAAATGTAATCGTTGCCCAGCACTAGTTATTATCATTATTACAATAACAATAAAAATTTAATATATTATTATCATTATTACAATAACAGTAATAACATTAATAAAAATGTTATAATAAATATGACACAGTGTAAGGTGATTGCAAGGTAGTCATCATATTTCGGGGTTCTTGGCATCAAAGAGTTTGAAACCCTTGACATGAATAGAAAGTCTCTCTAAATCTCTCTCTAAAAGCACTCTAAAAGGGGTATTGTATATTAAGCTTAATTTGCATAGAACTGAGGTGCCTCTGAAGCCCATGAGAATTTAAATACTCATAGTGTAGTGCTATAGCAACACATTCAGCGCTTGGTAAAAATGGTTTGTGGGTGCTTAGTGAATAAGATTGAAGAAGTTTTTGTGGTGAAATACCGTGCACTAAACTCTATAGTGAATTCGCCCATTAGAATTCTCTTTTGAAAGTGGCTGGTTGGTTTTCTGAGAACCGGTGTTTACCACCACATTGCTGGTGTGCACATTGAGTCAGCTTTTGTTTGTGGTTTGTTGGTGTGTAATGACGGATATAGATATGACTCATGAGAGAGCTGCCTGCTTGTGTGTTGCTGGGCTGAACAATAGTGTTCTGATCTGAGTGGATGCATCTCTTCCTGCACTTAGAGCTCATTTGTGTATCTTTCTCTATGTGGATCTGGCAGAATGAAACCGTTGTGCCAGAGTAAAATGTATCCAGCTGAAAATCCCAATTTCAAAGCACCCCCACACACAGTTTCATTGTTATTCCAAGAAGGGTCCAAAATTGCATCATATTTCTTCCAAGCCATGTTTTGTTTTTGTGTTTTTGTTTGATTGTTTTTGTTTTTTTTTATAACATTTTGTCCGTTTGGAATTGATTTAGCCATTTTTCCATAAAGGAATAGTTCACCCAAAAATGTTAAAAAAATAATTATTATTATTATTTACTCATCCACATATTGTTCCAAAACTGTATGACTTTCTTTCTTTTTTAGAACACACACAAAAAAAAACTTTTTTTTGAAGAAAATAAATATTTTTTTCATCCATTCAGTGAACGTCAGTGGGGTCCAATGTTGTTTGAACCCCAGCGTTCTTCAAAATAGCTTCTTTTGTGCTCAATAGAAGTTTGGGACAGTATGAAAGTGAGTAAATAATGACAGAATTCTTAAGTAATGAACATTGACGAGTCAGCCATAATAATTTTGTTCCTCATATGTTTGTTTTGGTGGCTTCATTTTTTTGTGAAATATATTTCACATATGTTTTGCCACATGTTTTCGGAAAAACAGTCTTAAACATTTGACATTCTGAATAAATCCTGATGGCCTTCTGAACCTTGCCACGATCCGAAGCTCTATGACCTGTTGTCAGTGTAGTTAACCTAGGGCCATTTCGTGTTATCTACACAATCATTAAACAAACAGGCAAGGCACTGCAAAAATACTGTCATTGTAACACTGTACACAATGGGTGAAACTATGGAGCCATATGTTATTTTTTTAAACCATTTTCTTAGGTTTAATGTTACATTATCAGCTAGGAAAATACGCAAATTTGACAAGGAAATGTAAAACAGTTTTCCGGTATGAGTCAGACAAGACTTCTGCATTCAGGAAAAAGGTGAATAGTTCATATGATTTATGCACTATATTACAAATCCTCTGAAGTCACATGATAGCTTTGTGCGAGTGACAGACTGAAATTTAAATCATTATTCACTGATTATCTTTCCCTCTGGTGGTGGTTATTCGCTGCTACCGAATCACTGAGACCATGAACTCAAAAACCGAACAGTTAGATTCGTGAATCAATCATTTGAGCCAGTTTTGTGAACTGGATCAATTGATTCATTGAAAAGATCTGACTCAAAATAACAATTCATTCACAAACTGGATGATAGCAGATTTTTTATTTTATTTTATTTTATTTTATTATTTTATTTTACTCTTATTTTATTTGTCCCACATTTGACACATATAAATTGTTCAATTCTCTAAAACGTCTCTGTTTTGTGTACAGTGGTTAAAATAAAGTCATACAGATTTGGAATGATGTGAAGGTGAATAAGAAATGAGTGAATTTTCATGAAATAATGCTTTATCTAAGTGTGTAGTCCCTGTAGTGCACAGAAAGACACAGTTCTGGCACAGTTGCTGCTTCCTGTGATTTATTTTGTGGTCCATCCCACCCCATAAATGAAATATTTATTCCTGTTATCTCTGCTGTGGGATCCAGTGGTTCCATAAATTGTAAAGTGTGCATCCTTATTGTTGCTCTCCTTTTAATTACAGCTCATGCAACAGCTGTGTGCTGTTGCATTTAACGAAGACTGTAAAATTTGAGTGCACACATTCTGGCTCTTCAGGGGACGTCATTTCAACGTCCGAAAAAGACGCTGAAATGACGTCGTTTGGACGTACCTTTGCTCAGTGGGACGGAGCAGATAAATAACACTGGGCTGACATTTGGGGTTGGCAGCGGAGACATAGTGACGCGTCACTTTCTCTGTCACCTCTCTCCGCTGCCTGGAGGAGGAGGAAGCATCCTGTTACTGTAATTAATGAGAGCGTGCCTTTTCTTCCCTTTCTCTACTTTCCTCTATTTCATGACTCAAACCGAAGACCCTCGACAGGCCGTGTTGTGTTATTGATAGCACGGTGGTCACAGTTAAGGCTGTTGCATCATTTGGTGGCAATTTGCACAGCACGTCTAGACAAATTTTTCCTCTCTGAAAGCAATCATCCATCACCATGCTTCCACCAATCATACCGTAAAACAACATTGGTGTAATTTTCCCCCACTTTGATTCACATTCTTTCACTAACACCAGGGGCTAGGCAGTTTAATAGAGGAAAAACTATCTGTGCATGGTTTTCCTCGCCCTCTTAGCATGAAACATGTGTGGAGCTTTTTAGTTCCTCATGACCTCATGAAGTAGTTTGCTAAGCACAATTTTATTTCCTTGTGTACTTCCTTTTGAAATAGGAAGTTACAGCATGGCATATCAAAGGGCTTGTCCTTTTTTCAGATAGCCAATAGGGCTGTGCGATATGACGATATGTATCGGATGGATGAAATAAAAAGTCTATCGTTTCATATTATGCTCTATCGTTTATTTCGTGGTGCCGCAAAATACATTGTTTACGGTAATATTTTTTCATCATTTGGATGACTGCGCAGGGGCGGATCTAGAAAATAATTTTTAGGGTGGCATGGGGTCAACACCAAAGCAAGCCCCCCCCCCATGCATAGTTTTTGGGGATTTATGGTCTGACATACACAGTTGTGTTCACAAATATTGTATTACCATTAAGTAATCATCTATACTGTTTAAAATGAAAAATAAATAACATTTCAATATCCATCATGGCACCAAGTCAATACACAACATAAATAACTTCAACAGGTTATAAATGTTTCTGAGCTTGTATGACTAAAGAAGACATGCGGTTCTATTAAAATTACATATA